CAGCCAGCCGCTGCCGCTGCCATTCTCCAAAATGTCGGAAGCTGGTGATAGGTGAGTTAGGTTCCAACAGCCAGAACACCACCCCCTTCCCTCTCCCTGAACTCTACATCAGCTGGCATGCGTTCGACGGTCCTCTGGCTCGCGCCGTGAGACACCTGCAGCATTCCCCTCGCCGCATACACTCACTACCTACCTTCCACGCGTCCTACGGTCCGCAGGGCCGCAGCAGCACCCTTGGCGGATGCATAGAGCTGGCTGACACTCGACTGACTTCCCCAGCACCCACAAGCGCTCAAAGTCGGCTGCCGCCCTCTCCCTCCTCCGAAGAAACCACTCCCGCGGCGACGAAGATCCCTCCAACTCGGACGAAGGTGCGCCGCTGACGTCGCCCACCTCAGCAGCGACATCCCAGACAAACATATCCATGGCCCAAAACGCCCCCCGCGGCGTCTCCGCCTCCCGTCTTTCCACAACATCCCCCTCAATGGGCAGAACCCCATCCCACAACAGCCCACCCGCCGGTTTGACTTCCAAGATGAGCAGCGTCGGCGGCAGCGAGAAGGGCGTCTCCCTCGAGCAGTCCGTTCGCAAGTTCCGCATCGTCGAGGCCCTGCGGAGCGGCGACACTGCCTCCATTTCAAAGGCCATACGGGACACCGCCGAGGGCGGCCCCAGAACGAGCATCTCCTCCATCAGCACCCTCAGCGGCCCCGGCCTCGACGACACCACCGTTCTGCACCTTGCGATCCAATGCGCCGAGTTCCAGGTTGTCGAGTACGTCCTGTCCGACGGTGCGGGCATCCTCGACGTCAATGCGAGGGACAAGGACGGCAATACCCCGCTGCATGTCGCCGCCATCCAGGGCCGCACCCAGGTCGTCAAGCTGCTGCTCGAGCAGAAGGACATCAACGACGCCGTCGCCAACTACAAAGCCCAGCTGCCCATCGACGTCGCTCGCAACCCGGACATCTTCCAGCAGCTGCAGCTCTCGCGGTCGCTGTTTGCCGAGAACAAGGTCAGGCAGATCCAGAGTCTGATTGCCCAAAACGACTACAAGGCGTTGGAGAGCGTTCTTGAAGAACCCCGCCTCAAGCAGATCCTCGATATCAACAGCACCGAATTCGCGACCGAACCCACGACTGTCCAGGCTGGCGGCACCCTCCTACACGAAGCTGCGCGGAAGAAGAATACCCAGTTGATCCAGGTACTTCTCCTCCACGGCGCGGACCCCTTCCGCAGAGACCGCAAGGGCAAGCTGCCACAGGATGTTACGAAGGACGATGTTACGAGGGCAATGCTCAAGCGATCCCCTGCCGCTGTAGCGGCCCAGAGGGGTATCCAGGAGAAGGCCGTTCTCGGCCAGGCAGCGTCGCAGGGCGCCGGGACTGCCGCCCCTGGAGATCCGGTGGCAGGCCGCGAGGCTCGCGAGATGAAGGGCTACCTGAAGAAGTGGACCAACTACCGCAAGGGATACCAGCTTCGATGGTTCGTCCTCGAAGACGGCGTACTTAGTTACTACAAGCACCAGGACGATGCTGGCTCCGCTTGCCGTGGTGCGATCAACACCCGTATTGCCAAGCTACACATGAGCGCCGACGAGAAGACCAAGTTCGAGATTATCGGAAAGTCGTCGGTCAAGTACACTTTGAAGGCCAACCACGAGGTCGAGGCTAAGCGGTGGTTCTGGGCTCTGAACAACTCGATTCAATGGACCAAGGATCAGGCCAAGGAGGAGGAACGGCAGCGCGCCCGGGGTGCCGAGCTGCTGAGGCAAGCAAAGGCTGAACAGGCCGGAAAGGCATCCGATCTTTCCATCAACGAGGCGCCGAGTGAAAGCGCCAGCGTTGCCGACACGAGAAGAAGCAGTGTGCAAATCCCGAGATCCCAATCGCACACCAAGATGTCGGTACCAAAGAGCGACTTTGCAGGCGCCAGCACCATTGCCGACGACGAAGAATTCGCCGACGCGGCCACGGATGCGGGAATGTCACGGGCTGCTGGCAACGGCCATCATAACCCAGACGACGACGATGACGATGATGAGTTTGAGGATGTCAGTAGCCGCGAGGAGCCCACAGTCAGCAAGGACGCTTTCAACATCACGGCTCAGTCAGCCAAGCTCCAGCTCGATACAATCTCAGCGGTCAACGCCGCCATGCTCGCTGAAGCTTCCAAGAATCCCAACACCACGGTGTCCGACGCAAAGGTTGCGCAGGCGCTGTCAACATACGACGCCGCAGTTAGGAGCCTGACGGGGCTTGTCGGAGACCTCATGCGCATTTCAAAGGACCGCGACGCATACTGGCAATACCGCTTGGAGCGCGAAACCGACATGCGCCGCATGTGGGAGGAGAGCATGGCCAAGGTAGCCAAGGAGCAGGAGATCCTGGAGGAGCGTGTTGACCAAGCCGAGCAAAGGCGCAAGGCCGCCAAGCGGGCCCTTCGCGAGGTTATGAACGATTCGCCTGCTGGTGCTAACCAGAAGGAGCCTGTGGATGGCACGACGACTGTTGAGGCAGCTGTTGGAACCGACGATGACCTCGCGGTGGCGCCCAAGTCACCCGAGAGGAATCTCAATAGAAAGAAGTCGGCAATCGTTCTCTCTGACTCGGAGTCTGAAGAGGAGGACGAGTTCTTCGATGCTGTCGATGCTGGAGAGGTTGAAGTCAGCGAGCTGCCGCCATCCGAGGCCGTGACGTCTCCTCAGGAGGAAAAGCAACAACAACTCGTCGTCTCTAGCGGTGTGGACATTAGCAGTTCCTTCAAGGGCTACGAAAACGGCATCAGAACCAAACTCAAGATGGACGCCGATAACCGGCCCAAGATTTCGCTTTGGGTGAGTAGACTGATGGCAGTACAGTGACGTAAACTAACAATAGGCAGGGTATTCTCAAGTCAATGATTGGAAAGGACATGACCAAGATGACTCTGCCGGTATCTTTCAACGAGCCAACCTCGCTCTTGTACCGTGCCGGTGAGGATATGGAGTATGTTGATCTGCTGGACCAAGCCGCGGAGCGTTCAGACTCGATTGAGCGTCTGCTCTACGTGGCAGCGTTCGCCGCCAGTGAGTACGCATCCACCATTGGGCGCGTCGCGAAACCCTTCAACCCCCTTTTGGGAGAGACGTTCGAGTATGTCCGCCCGGACAAGAACTATCGCTTCTTCATCGAACAAGTCAGCCATCACCCGCCTGTTGGTGCCGCGTGGGCCGAGTCCCCCAAGTGGACCTACTATGGAGAGTCAGCCGTCAAGACCAAGTTCTACGGAAAGTCCTTCGACGCCAACCCTCTGGGAACGTGGTTCCTCAAGCTGCGTCCTACAGCCGGGGGCAAGGAAGATCTCTACACCTGGAAGAAGGTCACGTCGTCCGTCATTGGCATCATCACCGGCAACCCGACTTTGGACAACTATGGCCCTATGGAAGTGAAGAACCACACGACGGGTGAGGTATGTCAGATGGAGTTCGTACCACGCGGTTGGAAGGCTTCCAGCGCGTATAAGGTCACTGGCAAGGTGCTTGACGCCGATGGAAGGGTGCGATACAGCATTGGAGGCAGATGGAACTCCAAGCTGTACGCTCGCTTCTCGCCGGGATACGAGGCCAACGTCGATGACCCTGGTGATGCGGCCTCCATTGGTAAGGGCAGCCTGAATGATCCGAACAAGGCGTTCCTCATTTGGCAGGCCAACCCCCGCCCGCCCAACATCCCGTTCAACCTCACTCCCTTTGTTCTTACGTTCAACCACATCGATGACAAGCTCCGGCCATGGATCGCACCTACCGACTCGCGTCTACGTCCAGACCAGCGCGCCATGGAGGATGGCGAATACGACTATGCGGCCGAGGAGAAGGACCGCCTCGAGGTGGCACAACGTGCACGCAGGAAACACCGCGAGGAGAACGGCATCGAGTTCCACCCCGCGTGGTTCGAAAAGACGACGTGCGAGATCACGGGCGAGGAGTATTGGAAGTTCAATGGCAAGTACTGGGAGCAGAGAGAGAAGGCAGGACCAGAGGGAGACCCCAAGGCCGCCTGGGACGGATTGGAACCCATCTACGAAGACGCGCAGTAGAGTGGCAGCACGGAGAGTGTTCCAAAGAGTGTTCCGAAAAGTGTTCCAAAGAAGAAGGGCGAACGTCAGCCAGCACCCCCGTCGCAGACGTTGCAGCCGTACGGCATTCGGTATCCTGCCGCTGTGGGATGGTGAACCACCATGCTTGGGAATGGTTGTTCAATTAGTGTATTGTGGATAGTATTACAGGTATTGAAATAAGCAATCGCTCGCATTCGGCAACAATTCTGGAAGATGCGCATTCGCAAAGTTTGCTGTTCTGTGATTGGTGTTCGGACGGACATATGCCACATGAATGGGTGGTTCTGTGCTGCCGTCTCATCTGCTCCCGAGTGCGAACGAAGAAGACGTTGGAACCGCGTTCTGCACCTGGGGAAGATTTCTGCCCACCTGCCAAGAAGCTTGTGATACCGTCGGGACTCGGGACGGTGACGGGGCATGCAGCACAGCAGGCTGAGATCGACGAGATAAATGATTACCTTTCCACTCACCGAATCCCGGACCGGGGGTGGTGCACGCCGCCGGCAAGTACGTACCGAAGCCACGGCTCGCGGGTACCTTACCTCGCGGTCGTGCTGGCAGTGACAACCTTGTTTTATTTCCCCACCTTGGACCTCGGCAGTTTTTTCGTTCCCTGAATGCTACATAATTAGGGGGGGAAGAACCGCCTTGCTGCATCTCTTTTAACCCACCCCTGTGACTTGTCAACCAGATTCGCGGGTCTCACCCATCGATCGTCGCCTCTCATTCATCCTTTCTCAGTCTCATACAGCGCTCACAGGCGAGCTTTCCTTGGTTTCTGAGGGGTGTTTCAAGACGGCACGAAACGCCACGTTGAAGTTCGGCTTTAGACTCGGGATCTAAACGGCAGACGGCGCGGCAGCAAACGATACAAATCCAGACTTAGACGGAACACACACAAGATGGCAACCGGGCGTTCGACGATTGTGAGGCCTCCGCCGGAGGACCCGAACAAGAGCCCGATCGAGAACGTGCTGGAGGTGACGGAGCTGGGCGTCCTGGGGCCGGTGAGTTTACACGCCTCCCGCCTCGGAAATTGCGGACCGGACAACTGACACCGACGCAGGACATCTTCACCAACACGCGCCAGCCATGGCACCCGCCCGGCGCGCGCGGCATCTTCGGCGGCGCCGTGATCGCGCAGTGCCTCGCCTCGGCGCAGAAGACGGTGCCGAACGACTTCTTCGTGCACTCGTGCCACTGCTACTTCCTGCTGGCCGGGTCCTCGGAGATACCGATTTTGTTCCACGTCGAGCGCGTGCGCGACGGGCGCAGCTTCGCGACGCGGACGGTGCAGGCGCGGCAGCGGGGCCGGTGCATCTTCACGACGACGGTGTCGTTTGTGAAGGAGGGCGCGGGCGGGGAGACGCAGGTGCGGCACGCGGCGCCGCTGCCGGCGGGGGTGAGGGCGCCGCCGGCGGATTGGAGGGGCGAGCCGGAGTGGAGCACGCACTCGCCTTTTCAGACGTATCGGATCTCGATGGTCGGGCCGGATGGGAAGCCTGCGAAGACGACGCTGACGAAGGGGGAGAAGGGCGGGGAGGAGCCGGCGCCGCATGAGATGAAGAGCCGGAACTGGGTGAGGGCAAGGGGGAAGATTAGTGTTAGCGGAGGGCATCAGGCGCATCTGAATGCGTTGGCGTACATGTCGGACAGCTACTTCATCGGGACGGTGGGGCGGATCCATAGGTTGTGGCGGTTCCCGTTCAAGCCGGAGGAGTTCGAGGAGCTGCCGCCGGAGCTGAGGGAGCAGGTGGAGCGGTTGAATGAGTTTGAGGGGAATACGGAGGGCGGGGTGGAGTACTGGAAGACGAGGCCGCATCTGGGCATGATGGTGAGTTTGGATCATAGTATCTATTTCCATGAGCCGAGGAGGGTGAGGGCGGACGAGTGGATGTTTACGGAGATGGAGAGTCCGTGGGCGGGGGATGGGAGGGGGGTTGTGTTGCAGAAGATTTTTGGGGGGGATGGGACGCTTTTGGCTACTTGTGTGCAGGAGGTGAGTCTTTCCGTGGTGATGTGTGAGATGTGAAAGATTGCTGACTGAAGTACAGGGCGTTGTGAGGTTGAAGCAGGAGGAGGATGCTGAGAAGGACGAACCGAAGGCCAAGTTGTGAGGTGGTCGTTGAGGCGTGATGTACGATGATGGGTGTGTTCTCTTTGTGTGATAGAGTGAGAGGTGATGGACACTGTAAGAAGGTGACTCAAGACATGGGTGAGGATTTCGTTCGTCGCGGAACTCGGGCTTGTCATAGAACTTACATCTTTTAAATACCGGATTTTCGCGGATTCTTTTTGATGCATGCAATGACGGCATCGCTGACAGGAATGCGCTCCGGTATGGTGCAACTGCACCCTGGACAGAGGAGGATTCCGTTGGCCTTCACGTGGAGGCTCATCGAGCCAACAGCTCTATTCGCATATGCTTTAGTATTCCCCTCTGTTTACTCAGGCACCGACAGATGCGACGGATGACTGCGTATGAGATCCTGTATATGACGGCCTCAGTACGTGAGATATTGTTCCGACTTGGGAGATTTCAAACCCAGAAACAATTCTGCTGGCTGTTCTTCCCTCACACATTATTAGTACTTGAGGATAGAAAGAGCTACTTCGCATTCGAGAGGTTACAATACCTTATATAAGGGATTTCGAGCTGCGAAGGATGTACGCCGGCAGGATTAGCCATCGCTGCTAATGCTGACCAAAGACTTGGGGACTGTGATCTGAACATACTTAATAATCTTCGAAAACGGCTCCTTGGGACTTTTGCAAGCAATTCGCATATACTCCCTTTCGTGTAGTCTCCTTTGAGGCACACAGCTTCTGACGTTGTAGAGGTGAAGATCCTCGAAGAGTCGTTGGGTGGCGCTTGGCTTGCTGAGTGTGATGGTTCGTTCTTCCATGTATACTAGGTTGAGAATGAGCAACAATAGTGATGGCAGATTCGCCATGCTTCGGCTGAGGGATCCATATTCTTCACCAAGGGGCTTCAAGCTGTCGTATCTAAGTCCACGACTGAGCAAGAGAACGAGATGGATCCTGCACTATTTGCCTGAGCCTCCTCCCTTCTGTGAAACCCACCCAGTTTTATATACAATGATCAAAGGTGCAATGCCGCAATGTCGTTGATGGAATTGATGGGCGATTGAATTTGGCTATACCTTATTAAGACCGATTTACAGGCATGAGGCAATGGCGTTCTAAAATCTGCGCTCTGCTTTTGTAAGGATTCTTCAGTGGCCTTTTCGGCCGGATTGTTTGCGTGAGGAGAGGGAAGTTTATTCCCGAATAGAAAGCTTATATAATGGTTCAAGGCTGAAGTCACTAGCTTACGACGAATCACCGCTGGTTAAACCAATCCGCGAAGTGATCCCTCGTGTTGATTTCGCGCCTGAGCATTGGTGAGAACGATATATGTAACTCCCCGGCTCCGCTCCGGATCTCGCCAACAATCTCGTAAGCCCCGCGGGGGTTGAAACCCAATACCGCACTCCTCTAATTCAGCCGTCTTTGGAATGACCAACTTTTTTTAAACTATATTTAGTCGAAGGAGGGCAAGCTGCTCAAGAGATGTCCCTTGAGGGGGAACTCTCGCCGCCAAGGCATTTTCCGGTCTACTTTCGCATTTCCTGCAGGATGTTGTCCAATGGACGCCTCCGACGTGGCGTTCGAGAAGACAGCAAAGGATCAGGCTCTGTAGCATGGCTACTGCATTCAGCCAATTAAGAAGTGGCCGATGGATGTAAGAGCTTGGAAGTGGAGTGTTGCTGACCACCAACCTACTTATTTTAAAAGTGAATCCATCCCGCCGCCGACCAACGTCCTTTCATTCCTAATTTCTTGTGCAATACCAAACTGAATCTGCGGCTCTTTCATCACACTTCGTTAACATGGCCGACGTCCCTGGGGTATCTTCCGAGCCACCTCAGCAAAGCCCGTCATTGCGCCTGGCACCAGCAAACGCAGACTCGTTCGCAAAGTCGGAATACCAGTATAAGCCCCTAAATCAAGGCGAAATTCGAATGCTCAACCTGTTACCGGGAGAGTTTGAAAGTCCCCTTCAGGGCTACATTTCTCACAAACCGTTTCGCCCAACGCGCCGTCATAAGAAGCTCGATTACGAAGCTTTATCATACGTATGGGGGAGCCAAGCCGATCCGAAGCCTGTTCAAGTCCTTGGCCGTTCCAGTCAGAGCAGCTCGGCCGAGTTCAAGACCCTGAAAATTGGCCAAAACCTGGAATCGGCTCTCCGACATCTTCGCCAAAAGCTCGAGACTCGTACCATTTGGTGCGACGCCATATGCATCAACCAGAACGATGTCGATGAGCGTGGAGTCCAAGTTCGGGGGATGGGGGACATCTATCGCTTCGCCAATAGAGTCGTTGTTTGGCTTGGGCAAGAAACAGACGATCTGTACAGAGCGGCGCAAATAATGAAGTTCTTCGGGTCCATTTTCTACCTCAACTTGGATACGTACGAGTGTCAGCAGCATCCTGAAACCACCGACCTACTCGCGCACAAATGGGCTCTGATACCCTTCAATATTGCTGACTGGCAATCCCTCTTCAACCTTTTTGACCTGCCTTGGTTCAGGAGGCTTTGGGTGAAACAGGAGATAATTCTTGCAAAAGGAGCGGCTATATTTATGATAGGGAAGCAAGAATTCACCTGGAACGACTACTGCGGCGCCGCTAGCTACCTAATTAAGATTGAATGGCTACGTTCAGAGACCTGGAGTGAGCGAAAACGACAAGAATTTGACGAATTATTGCACAAAGTTTGGACCACATTGACTTACGATGAAGACTTGCACATTACAGCCACCATCTATCTTGTTAATGGATGCGAATGTCTAGATCCACGAGACAAGATATACGGCATCTTGGGTCTTCATAGAAAATATTTGCAGATTGAACCGACCTATAACCAGGACCATCGGGACGTTTATAGAGACTTTTCCCGAAAATACATGCAATCAACCATTGCCGGAAGAATCTTCGCTTTATGCGATACGGCGGATGATGCTACTTGGATGCATCCTAGTTGGGTGCCTGACTTTGCGAAACGAATTCCTCGAATTTCTTACTGGCGTGTTGGGGACGTTGCCAAATATGCACAGCCCCAGCGTCAAATCTTATCGGATGAATCCTGTAAAGTCCTCGGAATTCGTTGCGGCACTATCAGCAAATGTTCATCTTCGGTAATGCCACAGAAGGTTGTGCCAAGCACTTGCCTCGCTTTCATCCAGTCTTGGATCCTGGATGCATCTTCCAACAGGACCCAACCTTTCAGCCAAGCTTGGGTTGATGAACTCGTGTGCACGATTTCATTAGGTCAAATCAAAGAAAACAACGTCGACAGCAGCTGGACTTTGTCGGAAGTGGCAGATATCCTACTCCGTGATACAGAGTGGTTTTCTCCCCGAGGCCCTCGGAATGAACAGGGCGAAAGTATTTTCATGAGAAATCTTATAGATTCTGCTATCTGCGGTAACTTACTCGCGACAACTGCAGATGGCAACTTCGCTCTATCAGTAGGGACTGCCCAAGTAGAAGACGAAATCTATGTTTTGACAGGGGAAACCGTTCCGATTATTCTCAGGACTATTGAAGGCAGACGATATCGAGTCGTAGGACCATGTTTCATGCCGAGCCTGATGCGTCGCGAAGCTTTGCTTGGAAAACTCCCGGACGGATGGAAGATGCAGTTCAGAGGGGCTGGCGAGATGGCATTGGTGATTACCGACCCTGACGGTCAGATACAGATCGAGGACCCTCGTCTTGGGGAGTTGCCACCTGGCTGGAAGAAAACAGAGCCTGATGATGACGGCGATGTTTGTTATAGATACGGGCCAGAGGGTGAATGGTCGTGGTATGATCCCCGTTTGACTCCAGAAAGCTTGGCGGCTCGAGGGGTCAAGTTTGAGGAACTTATCATTGTATGAGCAATAGTTGGTATTTCACAGTCAATACGAGCCAGTTGACGACGAAGGACCTGAGTAATATTTAACACCGATATTCTAGCATACGTAGCTTCGAACCGTCGGCAACAAGATGAGATACCCAAAGGCCAAGAACAAGCCAATAAGCAAAATAGCAACCTCCTCTGACCCAAAGTGAAAACCATACCGCACCGTATCCAATTTCTTGTTCCCTGGTGAAGCCGACTGCGGCTGCAACATGCCATTGAACCCCCTGGCCCATGGAACCTCCAACCTGCGGTCATCCAGAATCTGCTCAGCCGTGATCTTGGCTCCCGCCAACACGATCGGCACACCGGTTCCGGGGTGCGTGCTGGCACCCACGAAGTAGGCATTGTCCAGCCCCTCAGCACGCGTCTTCGGGCGGAATGCCAGGACGTTAAAGAAGCCATGGTTAAGGCCGAGAATCGCGCCCTTGTCGAGGTTGAACTTATCCTCCCACGTCAGGGGCGTGTTGACGATTTCATGGGTGATCATGTCTCCCAGGTTCGGGCAGCCTGTACGCTCGCTGACGATTGAGAGAATCATAGAACGGGCTTTAGAAACGATGGCATCCCAGTCCTTCTCATCCGTCGTCAGCCCGTCGTCGTTCTTTGAGCGCGAGAGGTGGCCGATTGGCACGAGGACGATGACGGTGTCCTTGCCCTCGGGCGCCGCGGAGGGATCCACGCGGCTCGGGACGTTGACGTAGAAGCTGGGCTCGTCGGGAAGTGAGTGACGCTTGAAGATTGCGTCGAACGACTCCTGGTATTGCTCCGCAAGGAAGATGTTGTGCGTGGAGAGCTCGGGGACCTTGCGGTCGAGGCACCAGTAGAAGGAGATTGAGCTGCAGCTGGGCTCCCTCTTCTGCAAGGACTCGTAGTAGTTGGTGATTGTGGGTGTTTGAGGAAGGAGGTTGCCATACGCGTAGACGAGGTCGGCGTTCACGACAACAACGTCCGCCGTGAGTGATTCCCCTGATTCGAGAATGACACCGGTCGCCTTTTGGCCGTCTGTCAAGACCTTCGATACTGGAGTGTTCAGGCGGTATTTCACGCCCAAACTCTCGCCAATACGAACCAGTGCCGCGACCACGGAATGGAAGCCACCACGAGGATACCAAATTCCCTCCGCGAACTCGGTGTACTGCAGAAGAGAGTACGTTGCCGGCGCATCAAACGGGGACATTCCCATGTACATGACAGCAAAGGTAAACACCCTCCTCAACCTCTCGGTCCAGAAATACCTGCTCGCCCTGCTCCAGATGCTCTCCAGCGGGTGCAACGACACCACATGCCTCACGAACCGCGGCCTTGCCAAATTCACCAGCTTGCTAAAGTTCTTGTGCAGCACCTCGCGCACCGAGACCTCGTAGTGGGTGTGCGCCTCCCGCAACCACTGCAGGTAGCGCTCGAAGCCGTCCTTGCCCTCCCAGCGCTCGATCTGGGACTTCATGGCAGCGAGATCGGAGGAATGGCGGAAGAGCTCGCCGTCGTGGAACCAGATGTTGTAGTTGGTCTCGCAGCGCAGCAGGTCGACGCCGGCATCCGCCATGGTGGTGTCGAGGTCGCGGAAGGTCTCGTGGAAGAGCTGGGGGAGCAGGAAGAGGGAGGGCCCCTGGTCGAAGCGGTGGCCCTCGTGGTGCATGAGGGAGCAGCGGCCGCCGGTGAAGGAGTTCTTTTCGAGGACGGTGACGGAGAAGCCTGCTTTGGCGAGGCGGGCGGCGAGGGCTACGCCGCCGGCGCCGGCGCCGACGACGATTGCCGTCTTGGGCTTCTCGCTGAGGGAGGGCATTTTAAGTGATTGATTAGATATCTTGGGGGGTGAATATTGAAGCCAAGTGAGGTTCTTGATCAAGATTACACAGATGTAAATGAGATAGGAAGTCAACACACGCTCACATGCTCACGATGAGAGCTTGCATTGAGAGAGGGAGCTAGCATGGTAGATGGGCCTCAAGTGACATTCATAGTAGATAATTGTCCCGTCATTGACATCGAAACATGTGAAGAGACAACCTAGTCAATCCCTTCGCATGCCTTGGGGGTCCACAAAAGCCACGGGACGGGCAGGGGTGAGATCGCACGAGGACGGGGTCCGCATCGGCCGGTGTAGAAGAGTGATGACACCTCGACTCGGAGGAGGTTGACGACGTTGCACTTGGCAGATGGAGCATCCAGGTACACGACCCAACAGCCACTCAACTACTATGGAGTAAACTCTTTGCAGACCCGATTTCAGGCACATATCCGCAGAACCGGCAAGCTTCCGGCACCCAGAACACCAAGGTTGAGGCCTGGCGGCGCCAACGGCAGGGAGTGGCGTCGGCTTGTGGGAGCTATGGCCCCCTGGGAAGCTCAGGTTGGGTAAGGTGTGTGCTAAGGTGTGTGCTAGGTGAGGTGTGTGTGTGTGTGTGTGTGACATTGGGCAATGTCCAGGTGGAGGTGGTGCATCGCGATATCGATATATCGTATTCGTTGATCGGTGCGTCCATTCGGCCCATCAATGCCGTTGGAGACTTGAGGGAAAGTATTCCGCTCTAGGACACTTGAGACGGCCAATGCTCCCCTCTCGCCGTCACGTTCACAACAATTGAACACCCGAGACTGGACTGGTAATTGGAGCGTAATGATTCACCCTCAGCTCACCTTTTTTGGGGGTCTCATACAAAAACAAAACAGCGCCCACCCGCAATTCGGTGTACGTTCCTCGCGATCGCGACCTGTCTCACTCGCTCTCCTGCCACGTTTGACACTGCCGTTGGCCTAGTCCTGCCTTCAAAAATAATTAGTCCTCATTCTCTCGCTGGGACTTTTTCATCTCTAGCTCAATCAATGCTTCCTCCCGCCGGGCACTAACGAAAATCTTTGGGACCCGATCACACACAGAGATTCTGGACGAGGGTTGGACGGAAAGCCCAAGAATCCCATCTTTTTATCCGACGCGCATATGGTCGTCATAGACTTTGTTTCTTTTCGACGCACACCCGCAGCTCACTCACTCCAGCCAATCCAACCACCTGCACCTTACCTCACCTTAGCCTCCTGCAGCTGCAGCAAGCTCACCTCAACAATTCGAACGTCCCAAGCCTTGCCATCCCTACCTTGGCGTCCCCTTTTTTGATTGATCCTTCCAAGGTTCCCGCCCAATCCTGCGCGCGCCCTTTATCCGAATCCGGAAAGAAGCTCTATCAACCCGGGCTAACCAGCTCGCCTACCCGTCCAACAGTCCTCCCAAAGTCCGCGCCCTCTCCTCCCTTCGGTCTCGAAAATCAAGACGAGTCCGAGGGCCGAGAAACATTCAGCGGAGAAACGCTCCGGAGAGATAACGACACGTCTTCTTCTCGATGGTTTTTATCTGCGGCTCGGGACAATTCACCAGCTCCGACCGCTGGACCAGCCGATCCTTCCTTTGCCCGGTGTAAGGCAAGCACAACGGTGAAATCCACGGTTTTACCAACAAGACAAACAAGTGAAACCGGCAGCCCGCGTGGGTCATTTTACACCAGGCCACATCCCACTCACACATGCGTGTGTTTTTCGTCATTGCCTTGACTCCTGCCGCCATCTGATTTCTCAACTCAGCCACCTGTCCTACACTGGAGTGCCTTGCATTTCTTCCCGGACCGTCCACGGAAGGTACGGCTGTTGTGGGAGCCGTTGAAGAAACACATTCATTAATCGCCCACCGATCACCTCACGGCCGTCGTGCTTGCCCTCTATGAGGGCTTTCTCACTTCTGAAATAAAGAATTCTCACAACAATCCGAGATGGGTTACGATTACGCGCTGGTGTAAGTCATTCCAAGCAGGTCTTGCGAGGCAGCCTCACTCACCTTTTCAGGCACATCAAGTACACCATCCCTCTAGCAGGGCTTCTCACCTTCTTCTCATACCCGCTCTTCACCCGCCTCGATGTCGTGAAGACGCTCTTCATCGTCACCATCGCCTTCGTGGCCACCATCCCTTGGGACTCATATCTCATCAGAACCGGCATCTGGACCTACCCACCCAACGCCATCCTCGGCCCTACCCTCTTCAGCATACCCTTGGAAGAGCTCTTCTTCTTCATCATCCAGACCTACATCACGGCCCAGCTCTACATTATCCTCAACAAGCCCGTCCTGCACGCCCAATACCTCAACTCGCCAGCTACCCTCCCCAAATGGATCAAGAGCGGAAAGACCGTCGGCCAGGGTGTTCTTGCCGGCAGCATTGCGCTTGGCGCCTGGCTCATCGCAAAGGAGGGTGAGGGAACGTACCTTGGCTTGATCCTCGTGTGGGCTTGCTCCTTCGCCCTCTTCATCTGGACTATTACCGCCCAGTTCCTTCTGGCGCTTCCGCTGACATGCACTGTCCTCCCCGTGATCCTTCCCACAGTCTACCTCTGGGTGGTGGACGAGATGGCGCTGGGACGTGGCACATGGGCCATTGAGAGCGGCACCAAGCTTGAGTTCAAGCTCTTTGGCAGTTTGGAGATTGAAGAAGCTGTGTTCTTTCTGGTGACGAACATTCTCGTTGTTACTGGTATTGGCGCTTTCGACAAGGCTGTTGCCGTCTGCGATGCCTTTCCCGACATCTTTGACAAGCCGGCCGATGCTTTGTCCATGTCTTTGCTGCGCGCCAGAGTGCTTCCCTCGTCAAAGTACAACATGCAGCGCATCCTGGGCATCCGCCAAGCAGTGGGCAGACTGGCAAAGAAGAGCCGCAGCTTTCATCTCGCCAGCTCTGTCTTCCCTGGCCGTCTGCGCATTGACCTGACTCTGCTGTAAGTTAACTGCCTCGCACGATCGAATCACCACTAACAAGAGTTCAGCTACTCCTACTGCCGCCTAGCCGACGACCTTGTTGATGAAGCAGCAAACCCTCAAGAAGCAGCCATCTGGATTGCCAAGCTCGACCGCCACCTGGCTCTGCTCTACAAAGATCCAGACTCCTCCTCGGCCCCTCTCGCCTCCCAGTATGCGGCAGAGAATTTTCCCGCGTCAGCTCTCTCCGCCCTGGACCTACTGCCCGCCAACCTCATTCCCCGGGAGCCCTTGGCAGAGCTGCTCAAGGGCTTCGAGATGGACCTCCAGTTCAGCACGAACAGCTTCCCCATCGCAACCCCGGAAGACCTCGAGCTCTACGCCGCCCGCGTCGCCAGCACCGTCGGCCAGTCCTGTTTGGAACTCGTCTTCTGCCACTGCAAACACTCACTGCCGCCGTACATGCAAGCCTACCTGCGCAACACGGCGCGCCAGATGGGTCTCGCGCTGCAGTTTGTCAACATCGCCCGCGACATCGCCGTCGACGCCAAGATCGGCCGCGTCTACCTCCCCACCTCCTGGCTCAAGGACGAGGGCCTCTCGCCGGAGGACGTCCTCAGGGACCCGCGCAGCGAGGGCGTCGCCAACGTGCGCCGCAAGATCCTCGCAAAGGCGTTCGAGCACTACGGCGAGGCCAGGGAGTCGATGAAATGGATTCCCTCGGAGGCGCGCGGCCCCATGGTCGTCGCCGTGGAGAGTTACATGGAGATTGGCCGCGTGCTGGTCCGCAACGGCAACGCTGCGGCGGCGGACGGAACGGGACGGGCCACTGTGCCCAAGTCGCGACGGGTTTGGGTTGCTTGGAGCACGCTGATGGCGGCTTGAGTTTGGGGCCCTTTGTCTTTCTTCACATTAGCAGGTTTGTATCCATGGCATTAGACGCATCGATTAGCAGGCCATTTCCATAGCCAAAAATAAAAGTTGTCAACACAACATGACTCAATCCGCAAAGTGACATGTTAGTGGTGATTGAAGGATTGCTTCGTCTGATCGCACGTCAAAAGGTGACATCACGGCCCCCAGCCCCAGGAAAACGTCCGTGCACCGCGTCAATGCTTCACCGAGCTACACCGGATTGGAAGCTCCACCAAACCTCAAATTAAACCTCCAACAATCCACCATCGCCAGCTCGCTCCCGTTTGCGCCGCCCTCATCGCATCGCGCAGCTCCCAACGCTGCCCCGTCGCAGCGCACACCTCCCTCTCCCACGAACCACACACAAACCGCCAAAATGATACCAAGAACACCAGCCCGCCGCCTCCTGCGCGACCTCACCAGGTCCCCGCGCTCAACCACCACCCTCCTCCGCCCCTTCACGACAACCAGACCCTCCCTCCTCAAGCCAATCCCACCACAACCTCCCCAGCAGCCCCCTCAAAACGCAGCCGCCTCCGCCGCCCTCCAGAACCTCTCCCACCTCTCCCCCTCGCAAATCACCGCCCTCCTCTCCGCCAACACCACACCGACACCACCCGCCCCTCCCCCGCAGTCCCGCCGCTCGATCCTCCTCCGCCGCGCCCTCTGGGCCCTCTTCTTCTTCCTCGCAGGCTACAAGCTCACATCCGACCAACTCGCCTCCATCCGCTTCGCCACACCCTTCCTCTACCCGCCCGCCGACTACGAGCCCGAGGACATCCCGCTCTACCGCCAACAAGCCACCTACGAAGCCCTCGCCTCCGACCCGGGGCTGGACGCCATGGTCCCCGCCGCCGTCTCCGTCTCGGGCTCGAAAATCACCGTCCGGCCCACAGACTGGGACCACTGGGAGCCGTACACCGATTTCTCGGACGCCCACCGCAAGACGCACCTCTGCGCCGGCGCGCTGAACAACCCCAACGCTTTGGGTTTGGTGCACATGGTCTTCCGCCACCGGCTGACGGGCGAGCTCATCCTCGTGGTCGTCTTCGGGCAGGGCACCTCCGGGTGGCCGAGCGTCGTGCACGGCGGGATGCTGAGCACCATCATGGACGAGGCCATGGGCCGCCTGGCCGCGCTGAATTTCTCGGCGAACACGGCCGTGACGGCGAAGCTGGCCATGGACTTCAAGGAGCCCGTGACGCCTGGGTTCCTGTACAAGGTGCGCGTGCACGCGGTCCTGCCGGAGCTGCAGAAGGGGCCGGACGGCGAGGACAAGACGGACCGCAAGCTGTGGATCTGCGGGCGCATGGAGGGGCCCGATGGGGAGATTGCGCTTGAGGCGAAGGGGTTGTTTGTCGTGCCCAAGGGGGTGGATGTCAAGCCTCTTGGGAAGAGGTTCTGAGCTAGTCGTGGGTTCTTGGCGTTCTTTTGGAGGGGGCAATGTGTTTGGACAAAGATTCCCCATGGCGAGGATGCTGTAAGAGTAAGATATGCATAGACGGTGGGTGGGAGAGAGGAAGATTGCTGCTAGTGATGAGCAACATCAACTCAGATCTGGAGAGCTAAATAGGTCAAAATATCATGACATTGCCTAATCATACTGTGCTCGTTTGAGCCTGTTTCTGTGATCTATGTGAGCTCCCTGAGATTCTCGTGTACGTTTTATATTAATCAATGCAGATCTGGTGTAAGCAGAGACTTCACGCCAACTCGCTGTTTCAGAAGAGACTTAGGCATGAGCAAACATTGCAGCAGAAGAGTTATGGATGTTGGACTAGTCGTAGACAAGTCGTAAGCCTTTCGTATTTGTTAATCACTTCGGGCGATTAGAAAGCACGCGTGAATAAAAATAAGGTCACACAAAAAATCCAATTCAGCTCATGTATCCGCTATCGTCGCGGCAGGTGCTATGGTACAGTTTCCAAAGTATAAACACGCTTGTCGTCCCGGTCTAATAACCCATCCGTTTTAGTAACCCATGCCGATATCCTGGCAACTATTCAATGCAAGCCCTATCGAAATACTCCGGATCCACGTCGTACGAGAGGATCCCCATATCACAACACGTTTCCTCCTCCGTGTCCCGGCCGAGGTCTTCGTATCCCGGCTGGGACATTCGTTCGATTTCCAAAAGCCAGCAGTAAATACGATAGCATAAGTCATCCGAGAGAATCCCTTTTGCTCTGGCTGTTTCTTGTGGGGTGTCGTAAGCTTGGGAGCGTGGCTGCCGACCTTTGCCACAAACCCTCTCCTAGATGCGTGCTGGGGGATTGAGAATAGATCGTCTGATCCGGTCATCCTTGGACTGAGGTGGATCAGAAGAACTCTCCTAAATAGGTGCTGTAGGGTTGAGGGCAAACTGAGGTCTAGTTGGGCCCTGCTGCATATAGTACGGGCTGTTGAAGCCTCCGCGAGAACCGTAGCTCCCGCGGCCACCTCGGTAGCCATTGCCGCCACCTCGTCCCCGACTGCTCCCATTGCCCCGGTAGTTGCCGCGATAATTGCCGTTCGGCCTGTATCCTTGAGGACCATCTGGGGGCGATCGTGACGCTGCCTGGCCACCGCCATTTTGGCCTGCTGAACCCGGAGATGGCGCGTATCCGCCGTTGGTACTGCCTCCACTGGGTGGACCGCGAGGTCCTCCTCCGCCATGACCGCCATTTTGGTTTCCACGCCCTCTTCTGCGGTTTGCGTACTGGCGGCGGCCATTCTTTGGCTTGCCCTCAACTGAAAAGTCGATCTTCTTTACCGGGTCTGTAACCATCTGATTGTCGCTCAACCCCAGACGCTCGAGGTCCTCGTGAGATGTTGTGGATATCTGGAAGACGTTCTCCAGCTTCTCAAGACCTCGAGTCTCCACGACCCAAGCCTTCACGTATTCACCCTGCTTGTCATAGTCAAACGCTTGCTTAATGGGGTTGAAAATGCGATTGTCGCCTCGAGGGTCGTTACCCACTCCGGCAACGTACTGCCAGTTTGACCAGTTGGAGCTCACGTCATAGTCAACGAGAAGGTACTCGTACCACTCGGCACCATAACGCCAATCGATGCCCAAATGCTTGGTAAGGAAGGACGCCACATTTTGTCGAGCTCTGTTAGATGTGTAGCCAGTGTGGATCAACTCGCGCTGTGAGGCGTCGATTAGACCCATGCCGGTGGTGCCCTCGAGAAACCTCTGCAATGTCTTCTTGATATCATCGACGGATGCGCCTAGGTTATCCTCGGTGATGACATGCTCAGCGTTGGCCGTCTTCCACTTAGGTGTGTCGTCCTCCTTGAAGCCAGTGACGCGAAACAGCTTCTCCTGGAATTTCCTCGTGCACAACCGCATGTAGTCACGCCACAGAAGCTCGAATCGGACCGCCTTGGTTCCGTCGTTCTCTCCCTTTCCGTATCCAGAAGTGTCCTTGAAATCCTCATTGGTGCCATCCTCGAATTGGACCAGGGCCTCGTGAATCTGTCGGGAAGTGAGACAGCCGAGAGACAGGAAGGCTGAAAGCTTGGTGCTGAAGTCGACGCCAAGGAGGCCATTGCGCGTGTTCTTGTACTCAGTCATCGCCCCTGACTTGACGAGATGATGGAGGCGGCTGCGTGCCTCGCTCTCACCGCCGTGGAACGGATGAACGGACTTTGCTTTCTCGGGAATCTTGGGATCGTCGGTGAAGGGGCTCGTCAGAGGTCTCAATAGTGCTGATTCCAACTTGCTGTAGTCATCCGATGGCACTTCGTAAGGGGAGCTCTGAGTAGGGAGGAGGTCTTTGGGATAGGGCTTGATTGCGCTCTTTTTGGGTTGCGGCAAGGTGGGCTTGGGCTTCTCTCGGAGAGGTTCTTGGGTCTTGCGGAAGGCGGTGAACACGTTGTCAAGATCTTCTGGGTTCTTCAAGCCTAGGTCGCGACTGAAGGGTGTTTGTTAGTATCGCCGCCACGAACTATCAAGCCGTCAACTTACTCGTCAATGAAATACTTCTCATCCAACCATGTTTTGAAGTTGACGCCATGCTTAGAGCAAGCCGCTGCCACGGCCTTCTCGTCTTTCTTCTCTTCGACGGCTTCCTCAGCCGTCATCCACACGGCGCCAACTTTGTGCTTGCTGTCGGAAAAGCCTCGGAGAAGCTCGTCGACGACGTCACCAAACATGCCTGCCCTCAAACACAGATCGCTACCAACCCCTTCGAGGGACTCCTTCAGGTTCCATACGGATTGGGCGATGAACTTCGTGCGGTGAGGGCCGCATCTCCAAAATTTGCCAATCTCGCTGCGTGCCTCTGGGTACTTTGACTTGCTCCCGTCGCGGAGAAACCCTGAGATTTCGATCTGGTGCGCTGGGAAAATGTACACAGGAAGAACATGGGTGAAACCATGATCAGAAGAGGTTGCGAGATGGTGGAGGATGGGATTGTCCGCAATGCGAAGGTCGTGCCGGAGCAAATAGATAAGGATGTTTGTAGCCGTCATGATGGGCTATTACTAGTGTGTTGATTCGTGAGGTCTATCCAACGAGATGTTGCTATCGATGATGCTCGGGGAACGGTTGTAATGGACTATCGCGAGTGTGTGGTCGGTAATGAGGTTGTTGAAGGTGTTGATGGGGTGTAGAGAAGAACAATGAGAGAAACGAAGGCATCCTCTGCCAACGGAAAGCGACAGGTGTGGGTTTTGTTGGAGTGATGATGGCCACAAAGTCTAGACCAAAGTCATGGCGTAAGAGAAGCCGTTAGATCTGTTTTAGTTCCCGGCCAGCTGGAAAGGAGACTAGTCCTGGAGTCGCCACAGGAGGATGCGGTAGGTAAGGTATGTAAGGTAGGTAGGTAGGTAGGAGTGAAGTGAACTGCAGGCACGGATGGAAAACCGGGGGGAGGTAGGCGAGGGACGGGAGGGTAAGGATGTGCCTTCGACGATGGGCAGGGTTCCTTAGGGCAAGAGGAGACCAGGACCCGGTGTCTTTCGGGAGCAGGAGCAGGAGGGGAGGTTAGGTTCGCCCCGATTGGAATGACGCAGCTGCCGCTAAATCTCAATCCAGGGGTCTTGCCGCGATTGTTAGGCGGTCGGACGATGAGGCTGCAAGCGCCGACGGCATCGACTTTTAGGTTAGATGATCGGGAAGAGATGGGAAAGTGCGGAGGACAGGAAGATCGGTTCTCTTTGTATCGTCTGTATTGAGTGGTAATGTACTTGCTTGCTTTTGGGTCCTCTTCTCTGCGGGACAGGACAAAACAGGACAGAAAGAGTTTTTAGGAAAAGCCGAGAGAGGAGCACAGGATGTGGGAGTATCCCGAATGGAGAAGCGCGGAATCGTTTACGCAGCCTGATCTCAAATGGACACCTCCTGAGGACTATGACTGGGACTCATGGGACACTCTTGCAGGGTCAAGCTGTCCACGGCCAACAGAGCTCAACCCAGAAGGTTTGCGGCGTCGAGATGTGGAGTGGACCTGCGGCGTACGGCGTCGAGTATGGCAAGGCAATGTACTCGAAATGTGTCGTGTGCCTTTGAGCGTGATACTATAACCGGATAACCTTGACTTAGTGTAGGTTATGCTGCTTGGTGAAAGGATAAGTCAAGACGGTTATGTCGAGGTGACGGGACGACAATTGCAGGTGGAGGCAGTGAGCAGAGAAAGGAGCCGAAGACGAAGAGCCAATCTGTGGCGGCGGAGTGCTCGCCGATGCGCCTTTTGGTTTTAATCATGGCCATCCCCCGTCTGGACCCATGGGTGTGAGTGTGGTGGATTGGACCCTTAGAATTTGTTAAACCCTTTGGGCCTAGACCCCTGGCAACTCCGGCGCCCCTACAGACTCGAACCCCCTCGATTTGGAATGCGATGTCAGGCGATTCGGCAGGAAATTTGGCACGTTTGGCAAGTCGGCCGTTGCTCAATGAGGCAAAGAGGGAGAGATGACGGGTGATGATGGGACATGGAGGACCAGACTAGGCCATGCGCCAGTCGGGGGAAAGCATGGAGGTCGGCATGGCATGGGGTTGAAGGACGGCGGCGCAGGATGCACCAAGGGACGGAGGAAACAGCGTGCATTGGAAGTCGCACAATGTGATTGATCGAAAAGTCACAGCAGCAAAGCATGGATGCGAGGGGGGGGTTGTTGCAGGCTGCAGCTTGGCTGGGCGAGGGGCCGCAATGTCGATGGCTTGTCGATGGCGGCGGGATGGGAAAGATGACCTAGAGATCGAGCAGAAGGGACGTGTGGACGTCCATGATGCAGAGATAAAGTCCGGGGTTGTCAAGATCGAGTCCACCTGAACGGATACCTGGGTCTGGAAAAGCGGGTCCCTGCCCTGCCGCGGGGCCCAGTCCGACCACTGTGACGCCGCCAAACTCTTCCACTTCCACCAGGAAAGAGCTGTGAGAGAGAGTGCCTGCTGCTTTGTCACCTCTCATCTCGTCT